TGTAAAATGCCTCCCTTTTAGGAAGTTCATGGTTTCTGAAGATACCCTACTTCTCAGTGACACATAATACTCTTGCATCAACAGGAATTGTCACAGGGTTTCAAAAGAAAATTGCCCATTCTATTAGTTTGAAAGAGGAATGTACCCTCTGCATTCTGAAATGCAGCCCTAAGAACTATCAGCCTAAATGTGTACTCTGCATTTCAAAATACGGCCTCAAGAACTTTATATTTTAAATTCAAATGTTGTGCAACAATGCGAACAACACTCTTAGAGTTTGTTCTGGTTCTTAGGAAAGGTATGTGTTCCTGCAAATAAGAATAAGAATAATGGCTCCTAATTAAATCTCATCCTGCAGCCAGTATTAGCTGGCAAAGAAGCAAAGTGTTTCATTGGCAAATACTTCTGAAATAGCAGGAAAGCATGTGGGCCCTTTCTGAAGCTGTTTCCTTTATCAGACAACAGTAGAACTCATCTACATTTAAATGAAACCTCTTTGGCATGATCAGCCATCCTTATGACGGTTTGAAGAGCTACATAGAAGGCCTCATAAATATACATTAAGAAAGTACATAATGGATACCAGCAACTAAAATTCTTCACTCATAATCCTAAATGTATTTGGAAATATGAGAGGCAGTGCCACCATGTGGAAAACTAAAGCAGCTGGGTTCTTTTACACGTTTCCTGTTTCTAATCTGCCTTTCATAGGCCCAAACAGTCCTTCAAGGTTCTCTTGTTCCAGCCTATTTAGGGCATGAACTGGACAATTCCTCTTAGATCGAAAAACACTGCAACTTTTTGCTGCAGGTCCTGCGAGCTATTCCTGACTCTGACCGGATAGATTCCCACTAAAGATGGGCACGAATTAAAAAAATGAATCGCCAAATTCATTAACAAATCAATAAAATGCATTTGTATTTGTATGAATCAATGCCCCCGATAAATATTAATCAATTATTTGTTTAGCGATTTTTGATTCATTGATTTGGTGGGCTATAACCCACACACCCTGGCACCTAAAGGCACCAAAATTGCAGAGGCTTCTCCTGACTCTCCTCTACAATCCCTCCAGGTTTGGCGAAGATGGAGTTTCAGCTGTATGGTTTATATACTCATAAAAAGTGTTCCCTCCCCCCCCCCGAAAGTTCCTTCCAAGCACTTAGAGACACCAAAATCACAGAGAAGATTTCCATGACCCTCCTCTAGAATCCCTCCAAGTTTGGTGAAGATCAGGTTTCTCCAAGTCAGCTGCTAAAAAGCACTTTCCTGGGGGACCCACTTTGTGGGTGTACAATTAAGATGTCTGAAACTCAATATTCATCAAATATGGAGGGATTGTGGAGTGACGGGGAGGCTTCCCTGCAGTTTTGGTGTCTCTAGGTACCTGGGGAGAATTTTCCTGGGTGGGACCTCTTTATGGGTGTATAACTCGGATGTCCAAAACCCAAACTTGACCAAACTTGTATGACATGTAAAGAAGAATCAGGGGAAGTCTCATGATTTTAATGTCTCTAGGTGCTTGGGGGCCATTTTAAGGACATGTAAAGGAGAATCAGGGGAAGTCTCATGATTTTAGTGTCTCTAGGTGCTTGGGGGCCATTTTACAGGGTTTTAAAGGCAAATACCTATAATTGGAATTGATTAATTGCTTTGTCAGAAAAAATAATTATTTATTATTTGTGGACCTTAGCAAATCATGAATCGAAAATGAATTGATTAATTGCTTTGTCAGAAAAAAATAATTATTCATGATTTGTGGACCTTAGCAAATCATGAATCGAAACAAATTGCCATTTTTCTGATTTGTTCCCATCTCTAATTCCCATTCTTTTGTTACAGATATTTGCTCAGAGCATTAGGCTACTATTTGCATTACTGGAGATGGGAAGGAAATTGTTTCCACAAAATTGTGTCCCTCATCAGATAAACATGGAAACGATAAACATGGAAAGATGCCTCCCTTTGTTATTCATCCAAGCCATTGTTGCCCCTCCCTCCATTAAACATAAACAATGAACACACATCACTTGATCTACCTCCCTGTTTGGCCCAGGAGCCCCAAAGACAACCTGTGACTTTTGAATATACATCACATGGTTGTTATGAAGATGTGTAGAAAGATTCCCTGATTTGCAAATATTATAATGATTAAATCTGGAGCTCTACTGATACGAAATGCCTTCCTCTGTGTGTTATGTTTTGTCTGGCTCCTTGTCAATGGCTATGCCAAGAATGGGGTCATTCTGCCACTCAGGCATTCTGAACGCCATAAAAATTAGCTACTGAGCCTTGAAACACAAGTTCAGACCTTTGTACAAGAGGCATTTTTCTGTACTAGACACAGATCTTGAAAGTACCGTATTTTTCCGTGTATAAGATTATTTTTTTTGTTCAGTCGTTTAGTCGTGTCCGACTCTTCGTGACCCCATGGACCAGAGCACGCCAGGCCCTCCTATCTTCCACCGCCTCCCGGAGTTGTGTCAAATTCATGTTGGTTGCTTCGATGACACTGTCCAACCATCTCATCCTCGGTCGTCCCCTTCTCCTCTTGCCTTCACACTTTCCCAACATCAAAGTCTTTTCCAAGGAGTCTTCTCTTCTCATGAGATGGCCAAAGTACTGGAGCCTCAGCTTCAGGATCTGTCCTTCCAATATTTAGATTAAAATATTTAGATTAAAACTGTAGGGTTGTCTTATACATGGAAGTAAGGAGGGGGGAGGGATCAAAGCGCTTGGATTCCTGCCTTCCTTGTAAGAAAGTAAAGCACTTTCCTCTCAAGAAAGCACCTCCTCCACTTTCCTCACAAGAAAGCACTTTCTTTGGAGGAAAGTGCTTTCCCCCTCCACTTTCTTCACAAAAAGTGGAGGCGGAAAGCAGGAATCGAAGCGCTTTGATTCCCTTCCACTTTCCTTGTAAGAAAGCGCTTTCCCCCTCCACTTTCTTTGGCAGAAAGTGGAGGGAAAAGGCAGGAATCACTTTGATGAATTGCTTTGATGATTCCTGCTTTCCCCCTCCACTTTCTTCCAAAGAAATTTTCAGTTAGAAAAGTGTGAGGGGGGGGCTTATACGGTAACTAGTTACAAGAGGCCTTACTTGTCTGTAATTGCTTTGGGGCAAAAAGTATAGCAGAGTGCACACACAGTGGTAGGGAAGTAACAAGAATCAGAAACCTGAGCACACTTTCCCCTCTGTAAAGGAATTGCTCCCAGACCTCTAAGAAAATAAGGTTTCTGTTTATTAGATAAATACTGCATAGAATTTGAAAGCCAATACAAGCCTTGAACAGGAGATGGCAGGAACCATGGCTGTCCCTTTCATCTCTGGAGAATAAATGCAAGACGTCTTCTCAGAGCGACAAAGAAAGGTGTGAGAAGTAAGTAATATCAGTAACTTTTAAGAATAGCAATCTAAGGTTGAAGAAATGTCAGCACAGGTTAGAGCAGTACATGATAGTCTAGGAAACCAGAGGGGGTCCCCTGTCTACCCCTCCCCATGTGAAGACGTGTATGCTGAGTGGCACCCAGTCACTTTCAACAAGTAATGCAACAATTAACAATGTTGCAGCACATGGAATGTAACATTATGTTACTTTCATGCGTTATGAATGATATTTTATATGGTACTCTACTTTTAAAGGTATTTGGCACCACTTTTTCAGTTTTTGTGCTATTCTTTTATCAACCCTAAATTGTTAAGGAATTATACATAGGTTTTGTTTTCTGTCTTTTCGTAAATATTTACAAGGTGCAGTATCAGAATTATCCACTAGGTTGCAGCAGAGATTATTTCTCTGTGTCCCCCCCCCCCAGGCTTTATTTAAACATCATAATTAATCATTACACACTATCACCTTGATTACAATTTATGGTGACGCTTTCCACGGTTTCCCAGGTATTAACTACTCCAGAGTAGTTTATCATTCCCTTCTTCTGACAACACTGTAGGACTGTGCCAAAGCCACAAAGGCTGGCTCTTCCCTCAAGACACATCATGGTGAACTGATTTCCTAACACACTGGGCTATCCAACCAGCTAGACATAATACATCCTATTAATAACACAGAAGATAAGAAATTTCTTGTGGGACCAGAGCAACTCAAGAAGTAATGAGAAATACATCAGGTCCCTTTATTTGTTTAAAAAAAGATTCTAAAGTATGAATGGAGCAGAGGGCAATGGGCCCACAGTAATGGGTGACCCTTGGGGTTTCAGCTTTATACTATCCTTGTCTCTTCTAAAGGGGGCCATGTGGCCAATACAAAATGCAAATGCAAGAATAGGTGATACTTTTACATAAAATTTAAAAAAGCATCACACAATATGCTTTTGTGGATCAAGACCACTTCCACAGCTGCCTGAGCTGTAACTTTAATCAACAACTGTGGTGCTGCCTGCATCTTTGCCGGCTGACATCTAAGAGAGACGTGCCTGGTGAAGTCCCATCTCGCCATGGACTTTTAAATTCTTCACACTGCTCCAGGCCTGACGAAGTGGTCTTGCTCCACGAAAGCTCGCATATTGTAGACAGAGTGACATTTTGTTTGTGGTCTATAAAGGTATCGCCTACTCTTGCATTTCAGTTCAACCGCACCCCTTTCCAAGTCTGTCCACAACATTTGTGGTCTTCTAGACTCAGGTCTCTAATTCTGAAGAACAAAGGTCAGGGCTTTCTCCTTTCCCGTCGTTGCTGCAAGTGGTGTGCGTGTGTGAATTAAGCACCGAAGACAACGGCTCAGTAGCCACAGGAGGTCGAATCCCTTCCTCGTTTCCGCAGCAGAGCGAGACCAACAGCGATTCTACCTCGCCGCCTCCGGGCGGTGTGCTATCTATCTGCCACAATAACAGGGCTCCTTCCTGCATTACCACCTCCTATCAAGAGGGGGCGCTCCAGACATTTCTCTCGCCTCCGTGCCGCTTCTTCTATTAAACCGGGTGCCTCCTTGTTCGGATCCCCGCCCCTTCCTTTTTAAACTGGCCAGCGGTCTAGGGTGGCCTTTCTCCGGGAGTTGCGCAGTCTCTTCTTCCGTCTCTGAGCCTCCCGTGGGAAATCCGCCTCCCCAGCAAGATGGCGGCCTTCGGCGAGGGTTTCACGTTGTGTACTTTGTCCGGGGCTCCCGCGCAGGGACCGCTGGGGCTGGAGCCCGATGGAGACCGGGTGCTGCTCACGGACCGGGGCCGGACGGTGAAGCTCTATAAGGTAAGGGCCATTCCTTTCCCGGTCGGTCTTCTGCTCCGGACAAGGTGGAGGACGGCTCGCAAGCCCGGTGACCCGGGGCCAGTAGCTTTGCGGGTCGCGGAAGGGCCGTGAGAATGTGTATTATCTGTGCAATTGAAATGCACACGTCATGTGTGTGTGTGTGTTGTTGTCTACTGGGACCTTATTTATTCTGTAGTGCTTTGTTTATAACGGAATGGAAAGCGGGGTGGATGAGGTGAGGTGGACGAAGCCCATCCAACACAAGTTATTTTTGATTTCATAGACACTGGCAGTTGTAGTAGGATATATATTTTATTTTCTTTCTCATTGAAAGCCGGTGGTCATGTTTCTGGCTCACCCCAAACCCACCCACGGGGCGGTCTGGTCTTTTTTCCTAAAATCCTAAAGTTGTTTTGATCCAGCCACTTTTTGGGGTCCAGCAAGTTACACCCAAAGATACAATCTGAAGACAGCGAAACTATATACTGTATGAAAAAAATGGAAGAGCCACAGCCCTTCAGAAGAGCCATCTGTCAAGATTGGTTGGCCAGGTGTGGCAATGCCACCGTATTTCTTTGTGCCTTGACCCTTTTGTATGTGTGCGTTTTGGTGAGACTGTAGTCATCATCAGTGTTACCTTTCAAATAAAAGTAGGATTAGTTTATGGATCTGCAGGCAGCTTCTTAGTGGCCATGCCGTTATTCAACAGTAAGCTGTAAATTAATTTTGTTTTTTCTTGTTTAGTTGCTAAGTCGTGCCCTCCTGTCTTCCACTGCCTCCCGGAGTTGGCTCAGATTCATGTTGATGACACTGTCCAACCATCGCGTCCTCTGTCGTCCCCTTCTCCTCTTACCTTGACACTTTCCCAACATCAGGGTCTTTTCCAGGGAGATTTCTCTTCTCATGAAATGGCCAAAGTATTGGAGCCTTAGCTTCAGGATCTGTCCTTCCAGTGAGCACTCAGGGTTGCTTTCCTTTAGAATGGATAGGTTTGTTCTCCTTGCAGTCCAGGGGGTTCTCAAGAGCCTCCTCCAGCACCACAATTTAAAAGCATCATTTCTTCGGTGGTCAGCTTTCTTTATGGTCCAGCTCTCACTTCCATACATCGCTACTGGAAAAACCATAGCTTTGACTATGCGGACCTTTGTTGGCAAGGTGATGTCTCTGCTTTTTAAGATGCTGTCTAGGTTTGTCATCACTTTCCTCCCCAGAAGCAGGTGTCTTTGAATTTTGTGGCTACTGTCACAGGAAGGACCCCAGGCTGAACTTGTGCAGTCTCTTTTTGTCCTGCTGTACAGTTGAATAGACAGGTTCTAGCCGTGGCTCATGGACTTGAGAACTGTGTGCAGCTGTAGTTCAGGCTCCTTTCCTTTAACGAGACAGCAGTTAGGATGGAATTGTAATGTGGTATATTAAATTATGTTGATCCGGAAGCATCATAACAGTAGATACTTTTTTTTAGGTTTCTGATCAAAAGCCTTTGGGTTGTTGGTCTGTCAAACAAGGTGAAACAATTACATGTCCTGCTGTGTGCAATTCGGAAACAGGAGAGTTCATTGTTGTCCATGATGACAAGGTATGGTTTCTTATTGATTGCGTATGACTGGAATTATGGGAAAAGCTAGCATATGGCACAAGCTTCCTGAAAATCACAGCTTTCTTCTAGTCCTCTTGGTGGGCGTGGGCTCTTTCTTTTGTCCCTCCCCTTTTTATTGATTCTCTTCAGAAAGGTAGTGGTAGTCTTATTTTCCTGTAATACTTCCCCTTGTAGGAAAAAAAAGTAAAATAATTGATAGTTGCTCATGCAGTCCCTTGTGAACCTGTATGTTGGTGGAGCAGAAATTAAATCTTGTTTGTATTTTCGAAACAAGGAAGTTATTTGATCTTGAACTGAGTGGCTTCATCTTTCCAACTAACATTGTAATTCTAAATATGCTTCATTTGAAATCAGCATGATTTCTTTCCATGGAAGCTATATTAAGATTGAATTGCATGCTGCCTTTCCTATGGAAGATGAGTCTTTTGTTTACAAGGATCAGGCAAGAAACCTTAAAAGCAAACTACTGTATAATATTACCTCCCTTTTCCTCTCCCACTTTGAAATTCTCTTGAGGATATATTAAACTGGCTTCTAATAGCCAGAAGCTAAGACTTTTTAGATGTAGCTGTGCAATTTCAGCACAGATCAGGAGATTTCAGTTGGTAGTGTGGGTCTGTTGAGGTTGAGCTCTTTGTACATTATGGCTGAAATCCTGTTGGTATAAAATTATGCTGCATAAATTAATGTCATCTGGCAATGGAAATCTTTAATTACTGTAAAAAATTCCCTGTTCCCTTCAGATTCTGAGACTCCTTTGGGATCCCTTTTGCAGTTGAGGAGCCTTTGGGTATCTTTAAATTCGGGTAGGAGAGCTTTTAACATTGGAAAATTGCCAGTGACAGCCTAATCCAGTGGTGATTTTTGGGAATCACAGGGTCCACCCTCATCTTGAGGCTCTCAAATGCTTTCCAAAAGCAAAAGTCGTCCCCAGGGAGCTTCAGAACCCGAAGGAGGGAAAATAGGATTTTTGTTCTTGCTGCAATTAAATTAAAGCTTCCTCTCACCAGATGATGATGTCATCTGATTTATAAGACGTAGATTTACACCAACAGAATTTCAGCCTATGAGTCTGTGCACATGAACTACAGTAGATCACCGCAGCTGTGCTATCCTAATTATCCATGTATTTCCAAGCTATGATAGTTGAAGCAAACTGTTGTTCACTAGGTATCTCTATCTGTTTTTAAGGTTTTACAGATATGGAAGGAAGATGACACCAATTTGGACAAAGTGTTTAAAGCAACCGTAAGTTTTGATGAGGGGTTTTGTAAATAGAGGCAGCCTTCTGTGTGATATTTAAATAAAGACAAGGCTTCTTTTTTTTCAGTTGCTGCTGTGTATTCCATTTACATTCTTATCATTCATGCAAAACACAGATTAGGCCCATAGATCCCTTTTTGCAAAGAATGCTATCTACCCACAGGAAGTGTTTTGATTCAATAGAGGAGGGAAGTAATTTTTGGCTTGTTCCTCAGGCAGCCCCTATGCCACCTAAAATGTGGTGGGCCAGCCAGGGAGGTGACATTTAGGGAGCATGGGAAGCAGTGAAGACTGTCTCTTCCTTCCCTTCTCTCGGTGGCCCATTCAAGTGAAAGGGGACGTGGCTGCGTCCAAAAGAGATGATGCTTTATGCCCTACTGAGTCAAAAGATTTAACTGAGGAATTATCTTCTGCCAGGAGAGAGTGATCACCCTCTCTATTTCCACATAGCAACGCTGTTTGCTTTTCTGGGAAACATTTTTGTTTTAATTGTTGGTTTGATCCAGTGTTTCCCATCCTGGGGGTTTTGACCACTAAGGGTGTTGTGAAATGATTTCTGGGGAGTCACAAGTTACCTTATGTATGTTGTAGCCCTTGTTAAGTAATATCTTCCGTGATCTTTCAAAGTGGGATATTAAAGTTAGCATCTATGTGTCTGTATGAGAACCAGGCCGTTTCAGGAAAAAAGAAGCTTCTGTTTTTTGAGAAGGAGAACTTTGCCCCATTAAAAATGCCTTTTTATGCAAACATGGCTGAGGGGGACGGGGTGAGGCACAAGTTACTTGGCTATAAAACAAGGGGGGGGGGCTCGACTCGAAGAAGGCTGGGAACCACTGGTCTAGTCTGAAGTATATGTTAGATGCTGTCACTGAGTTGTTGCCATGCTTTTTCAGTCTAGTTTAAGTATTTGTTTTGCACACATGGCTTCAAATCTGTGAAAATATAAGGACTTCAGATTTATACAGATATATTTAGCTATAGAACTACAATTCAGTTGCAGCCAAGGTTCCTTCTAAGGTCCACTCAGCCTTCCTCTTTCTCCGCACACTGACAGCAATACTGTCGTTTTCAGCCCCTTTGGTTCTGGTTGCAACAGAACTCCTTGCAGTGGGGTACAGAATTGCCTGTGTGAGGGCAGAGCCCCGTCCAGCGGGGCTGAAAATTGGGGGGGAACATTGATTCCAGCTCTTTCTCACCATAGCTTTCAGCAGTCAGTATTTCGAAAGCGTTAGTGTTTATGAGGATTAGTTACAATAATCCTGGGCCTTATTTATCCTCCCTCCGACCCATATTGTATATCTGAGAAAAACAACAACTGAGTTGTATGTGTGTGTTTTCCCTCCCTAGTTATCGGCAGAGGTTTATCGGATACATTCCCTCCCTCATACTGAGCCCCAGGTCCTATTCAAGGGTGGTACTGTGAAGAATTTAGATGCTTTGCTGGCAGCACCTCAGCAAGAGATTGAAAACATCCTTTCAGATGAAGTAATCAGGTAAGGGCTGCCACATTTATAATCTAGACTTTCAAGTGCCCTCATTGAGCGATTTGAGGCTTCCAAATTCCCCAGCTCCACTTTGGATCCCACGTTGTCCCCTGAGAAGGGAGGAGTTATTAAATGTGGATCACCTGTGGACCGGAGCAAGATACAACACTGGCCATCTCTTGACGGAGCGTTGGGTTCCGGTAGCAATGGGCTATTTCTCTTTTCTACTTCAGATTCCCCCTTGGCCCACTGAAATCTGTTTGGAGGTCTGGGGAAATGCCCCAGAGCTGGTTTTCAAGGTAGCCTCGGTGAGGCAATAGAAGGGGGACAGATTCCATCACCTGAAGCAGTGACACCCGCACAACTCTACATGTAGGCCCTTGGGTCTTTGATGTGCCATATTTGTTTCCATCCCTTCCCCCCAAGTTTCTCAAAGGCTATCTGCTTACCAAAGAAAGGGATATTGGGAAACGGGAAACTATTAATTTCCTATATTTGACCAAAATTAGTTAATTAACTTGATTAACATGTATTGAGAGGGCTGTGAATTTTACTTCACATAACATATACACTATTTTATTAAGCAGTGTTATGAATTTCACTTTTACTGTAGTAATGATTGCATTACTTTTAGGTGGAGTGATGCTTTTATGGCAGCTGATCAACCTGTTATTGTATTTATTACAGAGAAGGTGAGTGTTAAAAGCTGTAAAATTATTGAAATAAGTTATATATTGTTATATAAGGACACTTACATCTAATATATATCTAAATATTGAAGTTTAATTTGCAATACAGTAGGACTGAAGTATCCATAGGAGATTGGTCCCAACCCCCTCCACCGAAAAAGGTGGATGTAGTGAAAGCTATAGTCTCTGGCTCCCTCTAATGGTCAATTCTGGTACATACACCCTGAAAATATGTACAGTGGTGCCTCGCTTGACGAGGATAATCCGTTCCAGCAAAACCGCTGTAGAACGAAATCCTCGTCAAGCGAAATAAAAAAGCCCATTGAAATGCATTAAAACCCGGTTAATACGTTCCATTGGGCTAAATACCTCAGCGTCCAGCAAAGATCCTCCATAGGGCGGCCATTTTCTGCTCCCTGTCTTGCGAAGAATCTGTCCTAAAGCACAGCGGGTGGCCCTTTTGAAAACCCGACAATCTGCTGTTTTGATCAGCTGTTTTTTATCGTCAGGAAGCAACTGCTAGGACTATTGGGACTGTGTGTGACTGAAGGGAGGGCTTCCAACTTCGGGGTAAAGCACACCAGGAGAAAAACCACCCTGTGGTTTGTGTGCGCTGCAGCATTTTGGCGAAGGCAGGTGGTTTTAAAACCTGCGCCAGGAGAAAAACCACCCCGCGGTTTGTGCGCGCTGCAGCGTTTTGGTGAAGGCAGGTGGTTTTAAAACCTGACCAGGATTGCCTGGCTGCAACATTTCTTCCCTTTTTCGCCTCTCCCCTTTTGCTGCCCCTTGTTTTAGTGAGGGCTTTGGCGTTGCTTTGGGAAAGGCTCAGATTTGCTCTCTCCTACAGTCATTTTTACCTCCCCCCCTTCTTCTTGGAGACCTTTAATTCATAGCCTTTTCGTTTGCCTTGCCTGTTGGTTTTCGCTTGCTGCCACGGCGGCATTCCACTCCCTACCACTGCCTTTTTGTGCTGAGTCATTTTGGTCTCCCCCCACACACACACACACACACACACACACACACACTTCTGGGAGATCTTTACTCTATAGCCCTTGCCTGTTTGGCATTGACTGGCTGCGGCGGCGGCTCCTCTCCCATTTAACTCTTGCTGTTATGGTTCTCTGTTGGTTTCCCCCCCACCCCTTGCTTGCCTCCCTTGCTGCGGAGGTAGCAAATTTTTCCTCTCCCCATCCCCATTGTTGTGACACGTGGCCCCAGTCTCTCTCACTCACTGGGTGTTGCCACATGGGCAGCTAAAACCACGTAGCTGTAGGCCAGGGCAGTTAGGGCAGTGGTCCCCAACCTTGGGCCTCCAGATGTTCTTGGACTACAACTCCCAGAAGCCTTCACCACCACCTCTGCTGGCCAGGATATCTGGGAGTTGAAGTCCAAGAACATCTGGAGGCCAAGGTTGGGGACCACTGAGTGAGGGAACCTATCATCGTAAAGTGAAATTTCTCTATCTAAACATCGTTTTGCAATCGCAAAAACCTCATTGCACAGTGGATTCATTGTACAACGAGGTAATCATTAAACGGGGCACCACTGTATAAATACATATTTCATGGGTGGACTATTTAGTATTTTCAGGCATTGGATAAGTGAATCAGCGGATATTGATCCTGCAGATGGGGGGCTCCTACTGTACTAAATTACAGGTGATGGCTTCATTTTTCTGTTTTCCATCGATAGCGTAATTACTCTGTAGTAGTCACCTGTGAATGTGTTGCTTCTCTTCATCAATAATATAGTCTAGCCAAGTAAGCTAGAACGCTGATCACATCTACATAGTCCATAGTTTAGCTTTCAAATGCCTTCTATTTCTTTGACCAGGGTAAGTGCCCCTGCACATTTTCTAAGTCACATTTTCTGGATCCATCTCAATCGGGTTTCATTCCTTTTGATGTCCTTTTGCTGATGTGGCTGCATAATACCAATTTTAATGCACATTTTTCCATTACTTCATGTATAATTGTGACTTCCAAAATTCATTTTGGTGTCTTTGTCCCCTTCCCACCCCCAAAAAAACTTTTTAAGTGATTAATGTTTTCTATCTACTTGTAATGTCTTTTTTAAAATTAGGACTACTTATCTGGGAAATGACTAAAATACCCTTTATCTTTAGGATATGAATTACTTCATATATATTCAGCAGCATAATCCATACATCCTTCAGAAATTTAAACTTGAAGCAGGGAGTGAGTCTTCTACTCCATTGAGTTTTGCCGGATATTTGAAAAACAAAGTTATCACGCTGCTTTGTTTATGTAAGTATTTACCTTGAATTATCTAGCTGGGCATCTTCCTTTGGTGGGAGTGCAGGAAAATAAGTACAGTACTGCTTGTTGGCTGTCTTTAGATATTAAAATTGTTATAAATAGGAGAATCATGTTGTAGTTTTTCATGGTATAATGTCACATATGTATAATCTTTGCTGTCATAGTACAGTATGTATATATCTAACTTGAGTTCACAGTGTGTGCATTTACATGCGATACTGAAATATGACTCAGGGGTTGGAATTTTATCCACACACAGCACATGAGGATGGTAAACTAGCTTGTAGGAAAACTATAATCTGGAAGCTGTTTTCTCCTACCATTGTGCCCCAGTCCATGGTTCATGCTTGTCCACTCTTTAAAGTATGCTTATTCTTGTAGTTCTAGATTACAGTTGGATGTTATATACACATAAAATTGATGTCTCAAACATTCTAAACTGCAGGCTGTTTGGGTTCTCTGTGAGATAACAAAAGCATGGGTTGAGGAATGTGAGAGAACTGAGCAGGCTTTAAGTCTGGACTGTCCCTATAGTTTCTGGCTTTGAACAAAAAAAAAATGTGGAGAAAGAAGATGAGGTTTTCCCAACTCCTTCAGACTCTCCAGTATGTGGTATGCCTGGGTTAGCCTGGATTTTGGAGAATCTTTTCAGAAGGAGAGGCAAGTGTGTCTTTGCTGCAGAGAGAGCTTCTCTGGAATCTGGTAGAAAAGGGGAAAGAAATGGCAGAGCACAGGAGTAAACCTCATTTTCCCTTTTGTAAGACTATATTCATAAAGGAAAGCTTGCCCTTTCTGTTTCAGCAATATTTTGCAGATCCCAAGCTGCATTTTAATGCTCATGTTAATCACTGTGTGATGTGATTCCTTTTTTTTACAGATTCAAATGGATGTGTTTTCAAGGTTCTAGCACCACTACCAAAGAGAGTCTCGGAGGAGGAACAGGTTTTACTCAAGTCACTTCTGATCAGGCTTGAAGTATCTGGCAGTTTTCTTAAAGGCACTTCAATCGCTGTTCTTGATAGAGATCACATTGCCATAATGGGACGTCTGGATTCACCAAACAGTAATGCTCAAGGTAACTCAGTGTCCGGGCTGGAGGAGTTCAGCGGAAGCAGAGAACCCTGATTGTTCTGCAGCTGGTAAATCAGGCCTTGTGGAGATAAGTTGTGCATCTTATAAAAAGGTGTGAACTGTATTCTTACAAACAGAAGAATAATTAGCTGGAATATCCGATGGATATTCCAGCTCCCTGGCAGTGTTCGGCAGAAAAGCTTTGATGTGTCAACTGTGTTGTGCATGGACTGCCAGGCTTCTTTTGATCAGTTTCCTGGCAGCGTACCTAGACTGCAACTGTTGACAGGGAGACAGCATTCCATGTGATGCCTTTTGTTTTTCTTACTTCTAGATTGCTTTTCCATATGGAATATAAAGTTTCAGACACTGCAAGCTTCAAAGGAATTACCACAGGGAACTACTGGCCAAGTAAGCTGTGACAATTGTCTCATCTTAATAAGCTTATTGCAACTAGTTCATAATAAAGTCCACGCACAGGGCATATGAATTAAGTATGTGTGTGTGAGAGGGAGAGAGAGAGAGAAAGCTTTTGGAGAAAAAAATGCAGCACACAGCTACTAAATTGTTCCTCATTTCTCCATGCACTCACAAAATGCAACTGTTTGCACATTACAGTGGTGCCTCGCTAGACAGTTACCCTGCATGACGGTTTTTTCGCTAGACATTGACTTTTTGCGATCACTATAGCGATTTGCAAAACAATGATTCCTATGGGGGAATTTCGCTGGACAGTGTTTGGTCCCTGCTTCACAAACCAATTTTCGCTAGACAACTATTTTGACAGCTCCCTTCGAACTTGCAAAACGGGTGTTTTCGGGACCTAAGTTTCACAAGACAGCTATTTAAACAGCTGATTGGCGGTTCGCAAAGCGGCTTTCCTATGGCCGATCTTCGTTAGACAACAACGATTCTTCCCCATTGGAACGCATTAAATAGGTTTCAATGCATTCCAGTAGGGAAATTCTTTTTGCTAGACAATGATTTAGCTAAACAGCGATTTCAGTGGAATGGATTATCATCATCTAGCGAGGCACCAATGTATTTTAAATCATATTTTAGTGTGACATGCATAAGTTGCACTTCGTTTCTACTTCACATAGGCTGTCATTTCCTTTCCTCCTGTGCAGCCAAAAGGAGGCATTAGGAAAAGTTGATCTCTTCTAGTGAAACACAATTCATTATTATGTCATAAGGACCTGGAATTGTGGTTAATAATGATGAGGTGGAGGATTTCTGTGGTCTGTCTTTTTTCCCCTGCAACCTATATTTGGGCTTATGAGTAGGTTTGAATATGTTTATAAGTAATTTGGTGAGAAAGACCAGATTTCTCATAAATGTGTTTGAACCCGCTTATGTGTTCAAATGTAGGTTGCAGAGAAAATATGAAATGTCAAAGAAATTTTCCCGCTAGTAATTATGATAGACTTCATAATTAATTGATTGAAATAAATGTGGTTCTTATGAATGCGTTCAGTGCTCCAGACAACACAACAGCCTGTAGTTCTAAGCCTCTCCAGTGGTCTTGGCCACTCAAGAGGACGAAGGGAATGAAGCTATAGGTATGAGGCTTCATGTAACTCATTTCTGCTTGTGCACATTACCATGCATAATGGTTTAGAGTGATGTGCACATTCAGTTATCTTACTGTTCATTGTCATCTGCTCTGCAAGCCTTTTTTTGTCTGTTTACTTTATTGCTCTGTTTTCTACTTCCTAACCATGTGCCTATTTATATTTTAGTGCTGGTGTTATGGAGACAAGCTCTTCATAACACACGGTAAGGAATTAGCAGTAATCCTGTATAAGTGTGAAACATCTTCCTTAGCTGCTGCTGTGGGGAAAGTCAAGGATGTGCAGACATCAGGTAGGAATTTAATTACAGAGCTTTGTGTTTGGCTTCCGCACCGACACCCTTTTTTCACTAAAATGTTTCTGGGAAACCAGATAAAACTATTCCACCTAAACATTTAAATTGGGTTATTTTATAATAAGGCATCATGTCACTCAATGTGTCAGGTCTACAAATGTTTTGCTCTAAATTGTGTGTGTTTTGCATAACCAGAGAAAACATGAAAAAAAATGAGGGGGTGAGAAGTGCATTGTTCCTAGCCTTTTCTTGCTTTAAACCTGCCCAAGAACAATGTTTCCTTGTCAGATTGAAAGTTAAGGCCTATTAGTTTCATCATCATGTGCCGTCAAGTTAATTCTGACTTCTGGTGACCTTTTTTTAGGGTTTTTCAAGTAGAGATACCCAGATGTGCTCTACCATTTCCTTCCTCTGGGGGTGCCCTGGGACTGTGCAGCTTGCCCAAAGCCACACAAGCTGGCCCTTTTTTTTTTAATTTTAATTTTTAAATTCCCCGGTAGGTAATCGAACTCTCAAACTATGACTCTGCAGCAAAATACCTAAACCATTGACCTAGCCAGCCAGCTTGGTTTAACCAGTTCCAAAAAAAATTCCCACTTGGTTTAAGCTCTTTAGCATCACTCAGGTTTATGGCACTTAACAGAGGAAGCAAAAGGGCAGACCTTTTGGTCAAAAGGGTTTATGGTCTGATTGTGGTTCGTACCTGCAGTATAGATGGTAAAGACGAGGGGTTGAAGATGACAGAAGTAAGGGGTGAGCTGAGAGACTGCAACGGAACACTGTTGGGCATGGGTTCACGGGATGTGTGTGCGCGCAGCGGCTGAGATCTAGGGGAATAAGCCAAAGACTTAATGGAAGAAGATTTGCTGTGAAGATTCTTCCCCATGTGTAATTTAGATAATTTTCCAAACAAAGACTCTTAGGGATTGGCCATCATAATCATGTTTGTTTTGTTGGAAGCCATCTGGCTGAATGGCAAGATAGAATACTCCCTTCAGTATTCAGATATTTATTATTGATTGAGTAGCATCATTGATATATATTTTTATTTATATCCAGAGCCTTTAACTGTAGGGTTATTCAACTGCTTACAGCTCCCGCACGTCTTACACTACAGTGTTGTTTCTGTTAAGAAACCAGAGAATAGAAAGGGATCTTTTGCTCTCATTACACCGAAAAAAGCACTAAGTGGTAAAATAATTAGGAGTGCAAATAGTAATCCTCACATGGTTTAAATAGAATAGGATAGGGTGGTGCTTGTCTACCATCAGTTCACTTCTGTCTTGAATTACTTTATGCATAGAAAACTCTGCCATAAATCAGAATGGACTTAATAGCATATTTTGAATTAATGGCTGAAATCCTGTGGCTACAGGTTATTTGGAATTCAATTTCTCTTCTGAAGGTCCCAAAGCACCTATGGAATCCCTTTGAGAAGCTATTGGGTGCTACAGGATGAGCAAGGGAAAGTCTGTAATTACTAAAATTGCTGCTACAAATAATCTAGAAAAAGCAGCCTTTAATTAAAGGCTGAGGAGACTGCCTTTTAGCTTGAGGACTGAATTAGGTTTTGGCAAAGTTACCTAGAAAAACGGCATGGCTAGTGGGTAGAAGCTCCTTGAGCTCAACACAAGCCAACTCTTTATGCATTACATATGATTATATTAGGTGTGAACTTGGTCTAAGCATGCTTCTGTTCACTTCAGGCTTGATCCAATCCTGGCTGTTCTAATGGCGAAACCCACCAAATATTTAGGAACACAGTTGAAATTAAAACTGCTTGTGTTGGGTACTCTTTATGCATTATAAACATAGTTGTAAGCAAAAGCCCTCTGGAATATATGACAAATGCTTCTCTCCAGTGGGGTTCTGACACAGAAGAGGAAGATGATTGGAGAAAGGGATTTATGTGAACTGAATGGCCAATATCCTTTTGTAGAAGTCCCCAACTTTGGGCCCCGAGATGTTCTTAGAGTGCAGCTCCTAGAAGCCTTGACCTGTGCTGGCAAGGGTTTCTGGGAGTTGCAGTCTAGGAACATCTGGGAACTTAAGGTTGGGAGCCACTATCCTATTGGATACTTACACATCTGCAAGAGGAATTTTGAAAGTTGTTGCAGGTGATTGACAAGGTGCTGAGAAGGAAACCAATGAGCCGTCCACACGTCCTCATTTAGCTGCGACAGTTTGCATAATTCTCCTTCTGCCTGCTCGAGTATAAAGTAGGATTCTGGCCAGGGCGGACTATAGAAATTGAGTTCCTTGACCAGCCTTATATAATTGCAGTAGAATCACATTTTTTTAAATATGCACATAAAAGTTATAGCACCTTCCAAAGACATCTCTGTGTATGTTTCAGTATGCCAAACTAAAATGAAACCTAAAAACAAAAGTATTGTAGATGGATTTATTTCAGCGTGAGCTTTTGTAAATTACAATCTACTTCAAAAAATGTCAGGGAAATAGATTGTAATTCCCAAAAACTCATCCTGTAATTACTCTGTTAATCTTTGGGGTGCCACAGTACTTCTTTTTTTGTATTCATTTTCATTTGAGTAGCAAATACAGTTTGACTCTTTCACATGCATGCTATGTATATTTTGTTTCCAGGTGTTAAGCCCGTCTCTGTGAATTGGAATGTGCTTCCCGAGGATGATTTGATAGGTGCACAGGCCGATCAGCCTGCACTTGGCAAAAGTGAAGCAAAAAGGATGGTATGTTTGTCCTATGGCTGCTTCCTTAACTCTTACTACAAACACATTACAGGAGCAGGCTCTGAACAGCTCTCACCCTTGCAAGAACTCCAAACCTATTGCTTTTATACAGTTGATAGTGAGCAACCTTACTGAATAGCTGCCTCCAGCAAACCAGTTTTCCAACAAGCAAGGAGGGAGCTGGTCCTTGATTTTGGCAAGTAAGAGAGGGAGGTTAAATTGCAGCAATTAAATAAAAAAAATGCAGGGAGGGATTGTTGAGAGGACATTTCTGCTCCGTGATACTGCCATGGAATCTTTCCACCTCTTGGGAAATTCCCTTTTCCCACTTAACGAATTTCAGGATGAAATACATGTCTATCCTTTGGAATGCAGAAGTGCCCTGCCATTAGACAGGCAAATATGTGTGTGTGAACCATAGGTTTCAAGCATGGTCTTTCACTCATGACTGCTGTGTTAGAATATTAGGTATACTACTATATGCATTTTGGAATAAGCCCACTTAAAGTGTAGCTTATGAATAAAACATGTATAAGGGTAAATCCTAAATTCGATTAGAAAGCCATATACCTGCTTTACACAGAATGCCCAGTAAGATTAGTGTAGATTGAACCCGGTAGTTCATTGTCAGACAGTAATTTCTGCCCATATCTGTTTTGATAGCTAAAGAGAGATGTTGGTTAATAAACTTAAATGGACTTTTCCTGCTATAAAAGCCACAGAGTGGTGTTTTCTCATCCTGAACTTTTCTGTCCACCCTGTTGAATGTTAGCATTTAAAAAGGCCAGACCAGGTGCATAAATATTGATCTTTCCTTTATTAAATTTTTAATGTCATGTACTACAACACTCTCCACTTTAATGTGCACAGGAGAATACAGAACAGAATATGCCTTAACCCTCAAACCAAATTTCTGAAGCTGTTCCTAGTCAGAGTGGAACTGTGATAGGACTCTCATTACTATTGAAGATGTTAGCATTACTTGTTTAGCTTTCATGGAACTTCGGGTTGTTTTTGTCAAAGAATCTTACTTTGTATGTTAAATATTGCAGTTGAGGACAAGAAGGGGCATTCAGTCGGAGACTCTAGCAGTGGAACAACTTATTTTAATGATCAAGGTAAATATGAAACATCCTTAAAGTGAAAGCAGGAAAGCGGCAGTGGAAGCAGATGTGAGTTCTAGCTAAAGTTATATCCATTGAATCAATTAGGGTTTGGTAAGTCATCCCTTAAATTCATTCCCTTGATTCATTGGGTCTTTTCTAGTTAGAATTAATAGTAGCCTAGGCATTTTTCGGGTGGCATCGATTTCCTTTTTGAGATCTTGGTGTATCTTTCATGTGTGAACCAGGTGAAAATAGAGAGGTGAGAAACCTCTCTCACACACAATTACATAAAATCTTTCTTTTTTTCCCCAACAGAACAAATTACAGTTAACATATGTGAATCCTGTAGTAGGTGTTATAATTGAACTTACATTGATTGAATCATTAGAGAAGTTTAAATTTTTCTCGAAGCTGTAGAAGGCGGGTGGGTTTGCCAAAACAGATTCCAAGCAGAATTCCTCCACAGGAGCAAAAGCGTTCTGTGAACTGGACCACTCCAGGAAAGCATATTCCAGAACCATCCCGTTGTTTGCTCATATTGTAGATATTCTTGTTAAAAGGCAGAATCTAATTGCCAGATGCAGTTCAACTCTGAAGTCTTCCACAATAGTACATAGGTGAGAGATAGTGCATTAGCTGCTCCATGAGTAGGAGATAACAATTGGAGCTTGTATAGATCAAACTCATGTATTTCTTTTGCAGGCTAGACTTGCTATAGAAAATAGTTTATTTGCAGACACTGTAGATCCAATGAAAGTAGCATCTGTTTAGAGTTCCAGAGCTGAAGTGCTGACATAGTTTTATTATTATTTTCTTTCTTTCTTTTTTATTTACCGTTATTTAGAAGTTGAAGTCGAACTAATAAATAAAATATGTTTACCTGCCTTTCTCCTTAAAAGGACCGAAGGCAGCTTACAGCAATTTAAAGACAATATTTAAAACTAAAAGCAGTGAATATACAAATATTTTTTTAAAATTAAACAAGTATTGTATTTAAAATGGCCAATAAAATCAATATTAAAAACCCATTTAAAACAAGAGAGCACTATGGTCCATTTAAACTATATATTTCATTTTAAAGATATAAAGGGAGAGAGATTAATTATTTTAGACAAACTGAAAGTCGTTTTGTCCAGGTTTTAAGTATGAGGGAGAGGAAGAACTTTTAATGTAAATTGCAGTGATTTGGTTGAGCTCGATACTGTATTCGCAGCTGGCTCCACCATTCTGGTAGTGTGTTAGTTCAATTTAAGGCAACATTACTTCTTTAAAAGTGTAGTGCCGAGAATCTTGTGAATGGTGAGTGGAAGAAGGCTTATGAGAAGATGCTTCTTATTCATTCTTATTCAGGATTCTTCCCAGAGTACAATTGAAGAGAAGGTGACAGTGTTTTTGTCCAGTACTCAGATGCCAGACTTCCAAACATCTGTTGGGCATGTGGCATCCGCTCTTGTGACCAGGTGTAAAGCGGAGTTGTCATTTTATCCACGTGACTGCCTGGTGCAGCTAATCCAGACACAAGGCCTCTCTTACAGGTGACTGATAACTCTTGCCTCATCTTTTCTGCTGAAGCACAGAGAGTAGAAAAATGTTTATTTGTTTGTTTGTTTCTTTATTAGATTTTTACCCCACCCCTCTAGACCATGTCTACTCGGGGCGGCTTACTTCGATAAAAACATGATTATATCATGGATAAAATCACAAAAATACAGTTATAACAATTAAATTCCAAACACGATATTGCCAAGATGGCGTGACTTAAAAAAGAGAGAAAAAAGAAAAAATATATATAGAGAGAGAGAAATCACTTAATTGACTGGAGGGAAGGCCTGCTTCACCAGCCACGTCTTTAACTGGCTTTTAAAAACACCCAGCGAGGGTGCCAGCGAATTTCGGTAGGGAGGGTGTTCCACAGCCGAGGGGCCACCGCCGAGAAGGCCCGGTTTCTTGTTTTTTCCTTCCAGGCCGCCCTCGGCGTCAGACCCCTCAGCCGTCCCTGCTGGCTATGTCGGGTGATCCGGGTAGATCTGGGTGGAAGAAGACGATCTGCCAAATATTGAGGTCCCAAACCATTTAGGGCTTTATATATAATCATTAACACTTTGAAGTCAGTGCGGAAACGGATGGCCAACCAGTGCAAGGCAGCGAGAGTGGGGGAGATATGCTAATATTTTCTCACCCCACTAAGTAAAGCCTGGCTGCCGCATTCTGGACCACTTGAAGTTTCTTGACGTTTCCGCATCAACCTCGAAGGCAGCCCCACGTAGGGTGCATTACAATGGTCTAATCTCGAGATTACGAGCGCATGGACTAGAGTAGTGAGGGGCCCCCCCATCAAGATATGGTCACAGCTGAGCAATCCGCCATAGATGGAAGCAGGCGGAGCCACTGTGGTGGTTGTGGTGGCTGTCAGAATTTGATTGTGGTGGTTGTGGTGGCTGTCAGAATTTGGTCTCTTGTTGAACTTCTAGACTTCTGGTAACCTCCGGAAAATGTTTATTGAGGGGGAGTTAATATTGAGCAAATTACTTAAATCTCTCCGGGGATTAACTGCTTATCCTGTGCCCTAGTTTGTGCCCAGACTTGATGACAGTTGCCTTGGAGAAAACAGATGTGCACTTGTTACAGCTGTGTCTGCAGCAGTTTCCTGACATCCCAGAAGCAATTACTTGTGCTTGCCTGAAGATTTTCTTGAGGTGAGTATCAAAGTAATTCTATGCACTTGATCCTTCTTCAAACATTTTTACTCTGAGCTATTGGAACTATTATAGCAGCTCTTGAGCTACTCCAAAGTAATATTTTGGAACTACTTCATGCCATACAGGTATTGCATTGGGGGGGGGAATCATAAAGGAAATGAAGGATAGTACTTCAACTGCAAGATAATTATCAGCATTTTTCAGTTGTTCAGCCAATACTAATTTGACTTGTAAAGGGAAGTTTCTTAACATAAGTGAAGTGTAAGAACACACACATGCACAGACACGCATGAGTTCAAATCATCTTCCCAAATTAGGATTATTTTTTAAAATGTCACAAATATCTGTTTTGTTAACATTCTTTTTGTTCTTTGTAGCATTAGTGATGATCGTCTTGAAACAATGAATGTGAATTTGGATTCTGTGGCAGGTTGTGTTCATATTGAACACAACAATACAGTGGAGAAAAAATCTAAAGTTATACAAAATGGCTTCAGTTCTGATCCGCTGGAGGAGGATGGTTGTGACCCGCAATTAGCCATGAAATCTCATGTGACAGACACAAGTGAAAAATGCCCTGTGGGACCACAGAAGGCAACATTATTGTATCCTTTACTGAATGAAGAAACAACTTGGGAGAAATTGTCAGTTTGAATTATGAACTACACAAAATACTTTGATTTTTAAAATGGTTGCTGTTGGAAAACCTTTGGGGTAGGGTGCAGATAGAAATCCTAATATATGTTGATCCTCAACATTATTCTCTTAATCATGTGCAGAAATACCATTCTTCAGTCAGCATACAGTGAAACTATTCTTTTGCCACATTTAAAAGATCTATCTGCAGAACAAGTCATTGTAAGTAATTGGCTTCTCTTTCCAAGACACATTGTGTTTCTTTTTCTAAGTAGGATGATTCTTGCTTGATCATTCATTTGGCAAAGCTGTCACTTGACTATTTTGTGACTTTTTTGGATTAGTGTCCAATAATAGAAAATGTGTGTGTGTGTATAAAAATATCTAAATTATCCACTGAATGATCTTTCATCTGTCATTAATTCAATGAAGTCTCTTTCATCTTCAGTGATGTTATATTTTAAACTTTCAGTAGTGGTGTAAATCTTAGCCTATGTGTGTAATGAAGGTAAATTGATGATTTTCTACAACTGTTATGCAGATGTAAGTAAGAAATGAAAATAAAATTGCTGTGTGGCCTTAATCCTGCTAGATTCAGGACTAATATTTTACTTCTTCATAGGATACTGTACGGAAGATGTAGATTTGATGACATTTGAATCATGAATCAGTGCAGTGAGATGGGCTGTTGTATCCATGTTCCTTTCTGTCTGGAACACAGTCAACATGGTGTAATGATTTTGGGGGATGTCTGAATTGAGTAGTTTTAAGGAATGTGAGAAACAACTAATTGCTTTAAAGTGGTTGGTTGCAAATACAGATCTATTGGCCAATATCCTGTTCAGGCTGACACTATATAAAGTTACAGTGGTACCTCAACTTACGAAAGGCTCTACTTACAAACATTTCGAGTTACGAACGACTCCATTCACAAAATTTTGCTTCGACTTGCGATTAGAGCCTCGCCTTACAAACGAAAAAAACTTTCCTGCCCTTTTTTTGACCCAAGATCATCTTAGGTCAAAAGAAGAAAAATTCTGCCCCTAGTGGTAGAGTACGGATTAACTGGCTTTGTGTTAGTTCCTATGGGAACTAATGCCTCTACTTGCGAACAGCGCCTCGACATAAAAACGAAAAATGGCCGGAATGGATTAAATGGTTTTCAGTGCATTCCTATGGGAAATTTTGCCTCAACTTACTAACTTTTCGACTTACGAACACCGTTCCAATACGGATTATGTTTGTAAGTCAAGGTACCACTGTACACTGGTATAAATATGTCGGGGCATTACACCTGGTAACACAGGATTGTTGTGTACAAAATGCATGTGTGTCATGCACTTGCGCAGTTGGTCATGTCGCCCCAGCATAACTGATTTGTAGTGCTCCAGTAGGAGTGCTGATGGGAACATACTTCTGACTCAATTGTGCGCAGCCTTGAGATGTGCATACGTACAGGATTTTAACCAGTTCTTTAAAAATGGGCATTCAGGCATCTCATTTTATTTTAAACTTTTTTAAAAATATTTTTCTTTCTAGTTATTTCTCCAATATTTGCAATACCTGTATTTGAAATACAGTGAAAAGGCTGCCACAGACCTTCCTGGAATATCTTGTGTGACCACCAACCAGGTAAAGTAAAACATGAAAATTAGCTATATATTTTGGTGGTAGGACCATGACAGTCCTGGTTCAAGGGTTTCCTTGTTCTTTCGTTCAAGAGAAATTATCTCTGCATTTGCGTTCCTCCGTTGCACACTTAACACATTCAGAATCAATTTGTTTCTTAAAATGAATAAGGATAGTTGTCTGAACGTGGTAGATGGCTTTACTTTGCTGTGTAATACTTCAGCTCAAGATTTGAGATAATGCCTTAAGCAGCAGAAATGGCAGTATAGAACAAGTTGCTCCTCTTTACCATGATTACAGGATAAATATCCTGTCTTCTTCAACTTGCTGGCAGTATAAATGACATGGGACTGGTCTGTTTCTCAATTTGGGGCAAAAGACATTGTCTATCAACAATGGGAAGCAATTTAACATTTGTGAACACAATAGCACTGTTCAGCTACCTTTTCTCTTTTCGCAAGTTGCAGTCACGAATTAACAAAATCTGGTCCATACCACCGATCTTTGTCAACTATACTTTTTGTTTTACTTTAGTTTGGGTCTTGTTATGAATGTGATTGTTTTGTTGTTATATAATAAGAATATTTTTAAAAAATAAATAAGGAAGTGGTTGTATGTAGGAAGTATTCTTTATCTTAAGAGTTTCTGCCCCTAAAAGCACTTGGTTGATTTGGTTACTTTTAACTAGATCTACATTGCACACTAATGCATTCATAGAATTATTGGTGAAATTATGTCGGAAATTTCAATTAATTTTTAACAACCAAAATTATATTGCTGTAGTAAATAAGCTACACTTAAAAATGCCAAATATTATACATTCCTTTAGAAAAAAGTGTCGTTGCTAATCTATGCTTACATTCAGTCAATAGATCATCATTTCTATGTACAAACTATTTAACTGTTCATGATTTGAGTGTAGCTACAATGGAAACATGACCTATAAAATAGAGCAGACCCCAAGGTATGTAGCTTATGAATTACCTATGAAGTATGTTTTCTCCCCTCTCATGGGGGGTGGGGTGAAGTCTAGGTACTGCAGCAGGAATGAAAGATTTCTTTTACATGGCCTTTCAGATAATGGAAACAAATGACTTGTTAAGTTCCCCAATTGCAAAATGAAATCTGACCAACTGTTACGAAAAGTTACATTCTGTAAAATGTTATCACTGTAAATGTAAGCTTGGGTTCTTGGCCACACATTTAGTAAAATTCTCTTTTGTTATTGGGACTGACTTCCATGTAAAAAATGTGCTCAGTATTGTCATGTCGCATTGTTAAGTTTAACAGAGCTTGTGACTCTGGCTTGATTTCAGGTCATGGACTGGATGTGCCTTCTGCTAGATGCTCACTTTACAGTCATTGTGATGTTGCCAGAAGCAAGAGGGCTGCTTTTCAACCTGCACAAGTTTATTAGAGCCCAAGTAAGTTTCCCTTTCTTTTGTTGCTGCAGCTATCAATATAGGGTAATATTTGTCTCTGTGGATTGGGATGAGTAACTTTGCTGGACTGAGGGGACAGATTTATGCCCAGTATCTTAAATGGGATGCATCAGGCTCTGAAAGGCCAAAGATGATTAGATGTCCACTTCCAGCTTTGATTTTTACAATTTGGGGAGGGTTCTGGGTTGTGGAGTGATTACCTCTCTTCTCATACAAAAGAACCAGTTCTAGCATAGCTGGTGGCTGATAATGGCCTGGAGGCCGAACTTTGCCATACTCCTGATGTAGGTACTCTACAGAAAACTAGAAAACTACAGTAGTTTGCTATGTGCCAGATTTTGACAGCAGTTACCTTTTGTTTTCACAAATGGTGTTTTGTTAACATTCATATTTAGATACAGCCCAATTTTTTTTACTTTCTTTTCATTCTCCAGGTACGGTTTTACTCAGAACTCAACAAAATTGAAGGAAGCCTTAAACATTTACAGAGAATCCAGCGCCAAGAAGATACGGGCTTATATTCTATCGAAGTTCTTAAACTTTTTTGAACTTGGCATACTTTGCATAAAATTATTATTGTCATAAATTTGTTGTGGCTTTTGAAGATTCACTTATTTTCGTGCTAATATGTATCAAGAAAGAGGGAAATGAGAAGTTCAGCACAAGTACTTATTTAGAAGGTGGACGTTCTCACAATGAAGAGCAATTATAGTCAGAGTTAGCAACTGGGGATCCTCCAGTAGTGGTTGGACTGGAATTCCTATCATCCTTCGCTATTGTTGAGGTTGCCTTGAGCTGCTGGGGGCAGCAATCCAGCAAATTGCCAAGGGACACAAGGTGCCCCTTCCCTATCAAAACCTGGGGAAATGGTTCACTATTCATTTCATCATTGGAATGGAAACTAGGTAAAGGTTGCCATTTGGACAATGGAAACTTAATTTGAAACATCAGTCACTGGGTTGCAATTTTATTTGGACAGTATTTGGATATTTGGTAGATATTCTACAGCTGAAGTTTGGACAAGCACTGTTTATATCTGAATCAGAAAATGGCAAGGTTTATTTTACAAAATACATTCAGATAGGCAGCAGTAGCTTCATAACACTGAAAACATATCAGGCCAAAAACAAAAGAAAAATAAAAGAGACAAAAACATTGTGGCACCTTAAAGACTATCTGCTGTATTTTAATATGAGTTTTCATGGACAAGTCCGCTTCCTTTCTTTGGTTTTTGGCCTGATATGCTAGCACAAAGATAGCTACCTCTTCTAAAAATACAATGGGAAATCATCACAACAATAGTTAGCTCTTGATTTCAATCTCATAGAATTTGCAGATTGTATCCTCCTAGAGGCCTTACTCCACATCTCAAGTGTCATTGGCCTTTCAGCCAAAAAAGCTTTGATTGCTCCTTAAACTGTCAAAGAGCTATGAGTGATTAAATATGGCTGATTGAGGAGAACATAAGGGGATTCATAATGGCATTTGAAACATGTCTGGCTGTATTGCATAGAAACATTTTAGATGTCTTAAGAGGGTGTTTATCATCTGCTCTGCAGAAAGTACTCTCCTAATAAGCAAACTGAAGGGATGGAAAGTTTTCAAGTTGACCTTTCTTCAAAATGATGCACCTTCATCATCCTGAAAGAGGTCAGCATTAGAAGCTGGTGGTGGGTGGAAAAAAAGCTTTGCATTGGCATTGTGTGAAGAAAACAAAACAGTGTCCTTTTTTGCAGGAAGAAATTGACTCGTAAGGTATCAGCTTGTCCAATATACTGGAACAGATGAAATTACATACTGTTCTTGCATGTACACAGAGTAGAAAGAGCTGCACTGGGGCCAGAATCCCATTGATGTATAAGATTTGAACAACTTGCTACACCTAATAACTTGCTGTAGCTAATAGTCAAGGTACCAAGGTGTATCTTGGTTGGGTGCCCGATCAGGTCTCTGATTACATATCGAAGATGCCTCCTGATACCTCTTGCATTTACTCCACCCTCTTATTATGGCAATTAAATATATTAACTGTGTCTGCATCACGTATCTAGGGGTGCTCAATAAAGGTGGGCTGCCAGCAGCAGCGATATGGCAGAGACCTTACCCTGGTCAGGCAGCAGAAAAAACAATGGTACAACAGTTACTCCACATCACTACCAGCAAAGATGGGTGAGATTTGGCTGAAGCCAAACAAGACAACACTGGCAGCAGCAAAAAGCTTATTCTTACATAGCAAGAACTACTACTGTGCCCTGCCATCTTGCTTCTGGGATGCCAGGGGAACAGTGCACCTTGGAGTGATATTCTACCAGGGACTTTGAAATTAACATGGCAGACACAACAAATGTTTCCCGCAGTAAAAAAAATAGTGTTTTCTTGGTCCTATTGCCTTGAGGTAAGAGGAGATGGGGGCTAAAGCCATTGATAAATTCCTGATCATGGATGAATGGAACACATCCCTAAATAGCTCTAGAATGTGAAGATGAAAGTCTCTCAAGAGCCAGAGAGCCCAAATACTGTTCTGCATGACAAAATATCTATTCATTGGCTGAAATTATGTTGGTTAACATAGTAAGTTGCACTAGAGTAGCCCTATTAAAGGAATTTATGGCAAAATTAACTCACCAAATCCCCAATGAGTCAATGAGCTTATTTTAGTAGCAATTTGCTGTGCTGAAGAACAGGATTTTAGCCAGTATCTCCTAAATGGCTCCCTCTGTTACTGTTATCTGCAGTCAGGTCACATTCAATTTACGGTGACTCTTTGAATTTATGACCTCCAAAAAGCTCTACTATTAACAACACAACTCTGTTCTTGGAAACAGGAGGCTGTTGCTTTGCTTTATATTTTTTTTATTTGGTTTACCATAAAGGAGTCTCGGTTATCTTCACATGCTGAAAATAAAATGTTCCAAAACAATGCAAATTTGGAGAATTGCCCTTTCTTTAACACACACACAGAGAACTTAAACAGAGGTTGGCAACTGTAGCCCTTTCAGTGCTGAACTATAGCTCATTTATCCCCTTGCCATTGGCTATGCTGCTTAGGGCAGCTGGAAGTAGGGAGTCAAGCCACAGATGAAGGGAGGGTCACCATTGCTCATTCCCACTCTAAAAGCACAAATACCACCTTCAGAATTCAAATGTCTGTTAGGCTTAATGACATCTCCCTCATCATGGTAGTACATGGCTTGACAAGTTGCATTTCACTATTAACTAGTTCTAGGTTATTATTCAACATCAGATCCCTTTGACATCCAAAGTGGAGTGAAACAGGGCTGTGTCCTCGCACCAACTCTGGAATCTTTTCTGCTGTCATGCTAAAGCATGCTTTTGGAATGGCAACAGAAGGTGTTTATCTCCGGACTAGATCAGATGGAAAGCTCTTTAATCTCTAGATTGAGAGCAAAGACCAAATTCCAGGATGAAATGCATGTGGGACTTCCTCTTCACTGATGATGCAGCTGTTGTTGCCCATTCTGCTGAAGAGCTCCAACGATTTATTAATTGCTTTAGTAAGGCCTGCCAAGATTTCGGATTAACAATCAGCCTGAAGAAAACACAAGTTATAGGCCAGGGCATGGACTCACTTCCCTCTATTACCATCTCTACCCAAGAATCGGAGGTTGTTCATGACCTTGGCTCAACAATCTCTGACACACACTCTCTAGATGTCGAGCTGGATAAACACATTGGCAAAGCAGCTACCATGTTCTCTAGACTCACAAAGAGAGTATGGCTTAACAAAAAGCTGACACCATATACCAAGATCCAGGTCTACAGAGCCTGTGTCCTGAGTACACTCCTGTACTGCAGTGAGTCCTGGACCCTTCGTGCATGGCAGGAGAGGAAGCTGAACACGTTCCAGACCTTTGTCCAGCAGGCCGAGGCAAAGAGACAGTCCCGAAACCAGTAAAATCAGGGAGCTGGACAGGGGATAGATTGTATTTGTCTTCAGTGTGGAAGGGGTTGTCACTCTTGAATTGGCCTCAGCCACACTAGCCACTGTTCCAGGACCTCTCTTCAGAGCATGTTACCATAGTCTCTTGAGACTGAAGGATACCTACAGGTTATTATTTAACAGCTATTCAAATAAGCACACTAAGAGAAGGAAGTGCAAATACTTAATATCATCTTAAACAACAAGTTTAGCCATCACATATTTTAATTGCCCATTACACGAATTCTGAATCTAGCTTTCATTGGGCAGAAAATTCCTCCAGCCGCTAGCATGCAAAACTGTTTTCCTAAGTAGTGGCAGATGCATATGGGCTGGATACATTTTTCTGTGTGTTTCTTTGTTCCTAAATGCTATCAAGTTGCTTCCACTTACAGTGACTCTAATAGCATTTTTGAGATATGTCAGATGCTCAAGGACTGGTTTACTCTTATTGCCCTCCAGTGAGTTTCTGTGGACCAATTTGAACTCGGGTACATATTCTCAAGCCTAGTCTGACATTCTTATCCATTTCACCACACTCGTACAGTGGACCCTTGACTTACAGACGGCTCGACTTACAGACTTTTTGAGTTACAGACTTCTCTGGCCGCAAAATTTAGGTTTGACTTGCAGACTGAGATTTGACTTACAGACCAGAAAAAAACCAAAATGGAACAAAAACGGCCTGTTACGGGATTAATCGGTTTTCAATGCACTGTAGGTCAATGGAGACTTGACTTACAGACTTTTTAGTTTCTGTGATTTGAACTCGGGTACATATTCTCAAGCCTAGTCTGACATTCTTATCCACTTTACCACACTGGTATATTGTTCAGTCACACAGAATCAATAAGAATGGTTTGTTCTTATTCTTTATTTGTATCCGAATGTTGCACAATTTAAAATTAGGGACTAGAGATGGGGGTACATATTCGTAAACAAATTCAAATACCTCCCACTTAGCAGCCATGGGGGGAGACTTGTCCTCACACCCTCTGCTTGGAGTGGCCCTTTACCACACTGGTATATTGTTCAGTCACACAGAATCAATAAGAATGGTTTGTTCTTATTCTTTATTTGTATCCGAATGTTGCACAATTTAAAATTAGGGACTAGAGATGGGGGTACATATTCGTAAACAAATTCAAATACCTCCCACTTAGCAGCCATGGGGGGAGACTTGTCCTCACACCCTCTGCTTGGAGTGGCCAGCCAAGCAGGGAGATGGCAGAGCTACTTCTGCGATTGGCAGGAAGAGCGGGAGGCTGTTGTCGTGGCAACGTGTGAGTGGATGGGCTGGTTCCGAGGGCCAGACCTGCATTACGCACACCAGGAACGGGGATGTTGGTATTTGTTTACAGTCACACATTGCTACAGTATAAATAAGAATGGTTTGTTCTTATTCTTTATTTGTATCCGAGTGTTGCACAATTTAAAATTAGGGATTAGAGATGGGGATACATATTCGTAAACAAATTAAAATACCTCCCACTAAGCAGCCATGGGGGGAGACTTGTCCTCCCACCCTCTGCTTGGAGAGGCCAGCCAAGCAGGGAGATGGCAGAGTTACTTCTGCGATTGGCAGGAAGAGCGGGAGGCTGTTGTCGTGACAAAGTGTGAGTGGATGGCCTGGTTCCGAGGGCCAG